GCCCATATTAATGTTCTGTCCTAAAGGAACAGTGAACTTACTTGCTTTTTTTCCTGTTGGCTTTTTTTTTTTTTTTTTTTTTCTGTCCTGGGCATTGAACCCAGACCCTTCACAGTGAGCTATATCCCCAGCCCTTTTTTTAATTTTTTACCTTGAGACAGTCTCACTAAGGTGCCCAGGCTGGACTTGAACTTGTGATCCTCCTACTCAGCCTCCTACTGTTGAAAATTGAGGTCTAATACTTCACACATAATGCAGATGGTAGGATAATGCACTAAGCACCTACATCCCTATCACCCAGGTTTAACCTTAGTTTTGGGTCATAATTCTATATTTTTAAAAGAAGTAAGGCATTAAAGATAGAGTCGAGCTGGCTATAGTGGCCTGTACCTATAATCAGCTCTTTGGGAGGCAGAAGCAAGAGGATCACAAGCTTAAGGCCCTCCTTGGCAATTTAGTGAGACCCTGTCTGAAAATGAAAAATAAAAAGCTCTGAGGATATAGCTCAGTGGTAAAGCACTCCTGGGTTCCACCCCAGCACCACCAAAAAAAAAAAAAAGGTAGAGTTATGCCCCCTCTGTAACTTCAGTTCTATTAGAAGTTAACTGTTGTCTGTCTTGAATTGGCTACTTTTTATTCCTGTGCTGACTTGCTAACTTTACCACTTACCTAGACAGCCACATGTATACCAGTGTGTGCAAGCCTTTGCCCTCTGTCCCACCCTGTGCTGCTGAGCCACATCTTGCTTTTTGGGCCCCTCTCTGTGCCTTTGATGTTGACATAGATGCCCCTGGTTCTCATGTTCTCACTGTTGGTAGCATGTGGCTGTTCAGTGAACATGCCACAATTTGGATTCCCCCATCTCACAGAAAAGGACACTGTTTGCCATTTTTTATTGTTTCAGGCAGGGCCTCAATAAACATTCTATGCCCAGCAAGTGTCTGGGAGAGAAACAATGCTGGGGAGAAAGCATCCCCTCTTTGGATGGACCTATGCCCAGTGCCCTGCTGCACCAGAATCCAAAGACTGACCCCTTAGAGTCAACTCCAAGGCCCTCACAGCTACCGCCAGGGCTTCTCTCCCAGATGATGTTTCATTCATGCTACAAATCTACCGTATACCACCACTCCAAGGCTGGCTGGCTGGCTGGCTGGCTGGCTAGCTAGCTTTTTCTTTCTCTCCCTTTCTTTCTTTTTTAGTACTAGGAATTGAACCTAGGGCCTTCACAACATCCTCAACCCTTTTTTATTTTGCAAGAGTCCCATGTTAGGCATAGTGGCATATGCCTGTAATCCCAGCACTTGGGAAGATGAGGCAGCAGGATCACTGAGAGTTCAAGGCCAGACTGAACTACGTTGTAGGACCCTGTCTCAAAAAAAAAAAAACAAAGCAAACAAACAAACAAACAAATAAAAACAGTCTCAGTGAAGCTGCCCAGGCAGGGCTTAAACTTACAGTTCTGCTTTAGCCACCCAGCACTCTGAGAGGTGTGCACCACCACACCCAACTTCAGTCTTTTTTCAGAAATTGTGTTAAGCACTGGATGAAGTGGTACACACCTGTAATCCCAGCATACAGGAGGCTAAAGCAGGAGGATTGCCACAAATTTGAGGCCAGCCTGGGCTAGATAGTGAGTTCAAGGCAACCTGAACTATGTAGCAAGACGCTGTCTCAAAAACAATAATAAAATATCGTGTTATGTGAATTTTGATCATGACAGAATAATGCTATCATCCCCCAAGTATTCCCTCCTGCTGCTTTGTAGACAGTCTCTCTGCTGCTTGTTGTTGGCAACCACTATGCCTTCTGTCCCCACAGTCTTAGCCTTTCGAAAATGTTACATAAAATGTACCTGCAAGTTGTGACCTGTGAAGTCCATGAACAGTATCTCAGTCACATGTTGGACACTGTGGACAAAATAGCAATAAATCACAAGATATTTATGTCGAGTGGAGATCTACATATACATAATACATTTAATACCTTTCACTACAATTTAATAACTACTCTTTAAAAATTTTTAAAAAGGAAAAGTCAAATTCATATTGTATTTAGTTAGCAGCAGCCACGTGGCAGATTGGTTCCTCTTGATGAGCCTGTCTGCATCTGTCACTTGAGACCAGATGATCCAGGAAGTACTGCAGTTGATACCACAGGCCAGTGGAGGCATCCCCTCCTCTTGACACCTCCCTGGTTTTTTAATTTTTTCAGTTACACGGATTGCTTTGATCAGAGGGCTCCACTAGCTTTTTTCAAGAAAGCAAATATACTTCCTCTCTGTTGACTACATTTCTTGTTTGTCAGTAGTCGTATGGACCACCAGGACCCTGAGCCCTGGACAGGACTTATTAACCGGTGTGGTTTGGTCATGGTAAGCTTACTATCAAGGCTGCAGTGGTTCCCGGAAAGCTCTGTTTTTCTTTTGCGGTACTAGGGATTGAACTCTGGGCTTTACACTGAGCATCATCTCAGCCCTTTTTTATTTTTTATTTTGGGATAGGGTCCCACTAAGTTACCCAGGCTAGGTTCAAAGTTGCAGTGCTCCTGTCTTAGCCTCCCAGCGTGCTGAAATTACAGGCATGTGAACCCATGTCCACCTCTAATTCTCTAAAGAATGCTCTCCGGTCCATGCTCTGAGTGCTGGATTCAGCATACCTTTATTGGGTCCATTTGCTGACTCTTCTGTCCATGCCTAGCCCAAAAGCACGGGTGACTCTGCATACTGGACCTGAGACTGGGGCAGCATCTCTGCGTCTCTGCGTCCATCCATGATTGAACTGCCTCCCAGGGGGCTCCCAGACACTAGGCTGCCCCAGCAACTTGCCACAGTGTTTCACTTCCATGCATCCTAGACAGCGCAGGGCCCAGACAAGATTTTAGTTATCCGGATTTTTTCTTTGTCTGTTGTCACTGTCAGGGGCTCCTCCAGTGAGTTCTCCCCCGGCTCTTCATGGCCAAAAGGCCTGTGAGAAGTGGGCGTGTAATGCCTGGGAAAAGGGACTTGTGGCCACCACTCGTTGGTGAGATCTGCCCACATAGGCGCTCAGAACAAAACAGGGAGGCAAGAAAGCAGCCGGCACCATGCGGTTTATTAGCCAGACAGCCATGATTTCGACCTTGCTGTGGGTTAAAGGACACAAACCTGAGAAGAAATCTGTTTATCATGTGGGGAATTCATGCCATCCTTGACAGTAGATGGTGAGCAAGATGGATGATCTGCCAAATTGGTCCCTCGCATGGGTGAATCAGGGCAAATTTACAGTATAATTCCTTTGCAGCTTCAGGTACAAAAACAACATTTGCTGGGTTTTATATCCAGTTGTCTGTTGACCGGGGGGTGAGCAGAGAAAAGAAATCCGATTTGTAGGATTCATATTGCCTTAAAGATTGATATGGACCATTTCTGCCTTTCACGTCTGTCTCTTTTACATCTCTTGTACACCAGTCTGGCTGTTTTTTTAACCTGATTTTCCAAGTAGAGGACACACCTTTATGCAGTGGTGGGACTTTGTACCAGTACAAGACAATAAATGGATTTATTGAGTTGAATTGCAGCTGTTTTATTTGGGGTTTTGCTCTTTCTCAGTGTTCATACAAAATATTCCTTGTATTTGGAATATATTTTCCACAGTTTGCAGTTCAAAATAGGTTGTTATCCTGAATCTGAAATATCCAGCAAAGCATACTTGAATACATATTAAATGGAAATGAAATTCTTATCCACGGTTACATTTTTCCCTTTAGCCAGGTAACTATTTTGGAGCACCTACTAGTGTACAATGGTACCTAGGAATCTGCTAGGGTGTGAGGAAGCAGCAAGTAAGAGATAACCCTAAAGGCCCTGCCCTGTATGACTTGTCATCCCTCTGCAGCTAGAACCTAGCACTCTGGAGCCCACGTGACCACACCTGACCCTCATGCATGGCCTATGGGGTCTTACCACATGTCAGCCTCAGTGGTAATAGGAAGAGCTTATGCCTGACATGAGCTGAATCACAGGCACATTAGCGTTGTGGGTAAGAACTCAACACCAGGTCACTACACATTGTCCTCCTGGGCAGTCTTTCTCTAGTATTGTCAATGAAGAAATAGCCAGAGATACCTCAAAACCAGACTTAATTGTGTCTTGTGGTTCTATAATGATGCTAAAGACAGGATGGGGGTAATGCTTACTGACAGAGGACAGGGTAACATTTCCTACTGTGCACTTACAGTAACCCCAGCAAGCAAAGGTACTTCTGAAACAAGGAGCCTGTGGACACCTGGTGGCCCAACCAGTCCATCTCTTCCAGTGTCATTTACAGCATGGTATAGATAAAGAGCTTGACTTTCCAAAATGATTTTTTCACAGTGCCAGCAAGCTCTGGAGGCTTGGTGCAGAGAGAGTAGCCTCCTTCTCTTTAGTTCCCTCCATCTTCAGCTGGGACTGGGTCCTGGGAATCCCTGTGGCATCACAGTGTTAATCCATCCTGGGCCCTGAGCCCTGAGTCTCACTGTGCCACCCTGGGGGCAGCAACTAAGGCCTCAGGTTCAAGGGTCTTCATGACTCTGGTAATTACACATCATAGGCAGCCCTCACTGAAAATAATCTGCCTGTTCTTTTTGATCTGGGAAATACAGACAAAATAATTATGCAACTTATAATGTAGCCACGCTCCTTATGAGTTATTAGAATTATGGGGTTTTCTTAGAAGAAATCATGACATTGTTAATACATGATTAATATGACAGATTTTTTTAAATTAAAATTCCCAGATATTAAGCCTTCAGAAGCCATCTATTTAACTCTCTGGTTTTTTTTCTTCCTGTTAGTGTTATTTTTGCTCATTTAACACAGAAAATTAGAGGTTACTCTCAGTCAAAAAAACTATAAAACAATGCATGAAGATCCATAGAAGACCACAGTCTCCTTTGGTACAGACTGTTTAATTAGTATTTCCTAGAGAAGGAAGGTTGATGTATGTGGTGAAAGATAAGTATTTTCGTGTGTTTAATTACAGAAAGCACTCCAAAGACCTCCGCCAGCTGCAGCCCTGCTCCTGAGTCCCCAATGAGTTCCAGTGAATCCGTGAAGAGTTTGACTGAGCTGGTTCAGCAGCCCTGTCCCCCCATCGAGACCAGTAAGGACGGCAAACCACCAGAACCCAATGACCCACCAACTTTGGACTCCCAGCCCACAACCCCACTGCCTCTCTCTGGACACTCATCCCTCAGCATCCAAGAACTTGTAGCCATGTCTCCAGAGTTGGACACTTACGGCATAACCAAGAGGGTCAAGGAGGTGCTGACAGACAACAACCTCGGTAGGTCCGTCTCAACTGCCAAGTCAGATACCAGCAAGTCATTTCCTGATTGAGGTCTTGGGGTAAAAGGAGCTTCAGGCAGAGCCAGCCAAAAGGTTTAAAGTTGTAGCCAAGTCAGGCATGGTGGAACATGCCTCAAATCCCTCTAGGAGGCTGAGGCAAGAGGATCACAAGTTCACGCCCAACCTGGGCAATTTAGCAAGATCTTGTCTCAAAACAAAAAATAAAAAAGCTGGCACATAGCTTAGTGTGAAGGCCCCAAATTTAATCCCAAATGCCACCCCCCAAAAAATTAAATAAGTAAAATAAAATAGCTCCAGGCATGTCCAGCGTGTGGGCCGCAAGTTGGACACACTTGGCTTGCCTAGGCCACATTTAGTGAAGAGGAACTGTGTTAGGCCACATATAAAATATATAACATAGCTAATATGTAAAAGTAACAAAACTCCCTTTATTGTTTGTATATTTTATTAAAACTGGCATAGTCAACCTACAGGCCACAAGTTAGACACACCTGCTCATTTCAGGCTTCTTATAAGGCTCATTTCAGGCCTTTCTTATGGGCCAGGTATGGTGGAGCATACCTATAATCCCACCACTCTGGGAGCCGGAGGCGAGAGGATCACACATTCAAGTCCAGCCTGGACAAAGAAAGATGGCAACATCCTACAACTATGAACACTGGGGGGTCATAAGGGAGCCACAGCCCTACAGGTCCATCCCAGCCCGCTCCACACTTGTGCACACCCCTTTTTGGGACCCCCATGAAGATAGCCTGTGGGCCAGAGCAGACCAGGGGGATATCAAGGTACACCAGCAGAGCCCCAGACCCATGGTGGGTGCCAGCATTGGGCAGGACAGCTCAGCCCTGCAGCATCCAGTGGCTTTGTAGAGGGATCCAAGCAGCTCAGTTCCACTCATTGTATGTGGGTATGGAGCCTGCTGCTTGCACCCTGAGCCCCTCTGGAAGGCTGGAGTAATGAGTAGCAGCAGTTCTAGCAGTTGGTAATCATCCAATATTACTGTTATTGTTCCCACTGCCTCATGAAGATAGGGCAGCCCTAGAGAACAGTGTGTCACCCTCCCACAGTGTCACACCCAGGTCGTTTGCCTGACATGTACTTTGTCACCACTGGACAGCAGTTGTGGCCCTAAAAGTGTGGTGTTTTGTCATTTCACACCACCGTGGCCCCTGCCATGCTATGTTGACAGTACAGGGCTGACCTGGGCAGAGCACAGCAAAGGAAAGCAGCCAGTCCCCAAATCCTCGTGTCCTTATTTCCCGGGTGGACACATCAACATGAGGAGCAGCATTCTTGGCTGCAAGCCATGCTGAGATACCTACAGAGCTGCTGTCCTTCCCAGCGAGCAAAAAGGGAACAGCTGAGTTCCTGTAAGGTCTGCATGATGACCTGCAGCTCACTTAATCTGGTTGAGGCCTCCCCTCTATACACTTTGTATAGTCCATTGTCCAAACCAGCACAGAAAAAGGAATATCAACTGAGAACATTTTTAATCAGTTCATACAATGAAAATGTATGTGGTGGCACATACCTATAATCCCAATACCCTGGGAGGCTGAGGCAGAAAGATTTCAAGTTCAAGCCTAGCTTGGGCAATTTAGCAAGACGTCTCAAAATTAAAAATTAAAAGGGGGCTGAGGATGTAGCTCAGTGCAAAGGCCCTGGGCTCAGTCCCCAGGACACACATATACAAAGAAAAGAAAGTGTAGTTGTTACTGTAGAACTTGGCCCAAATGTCGTATGTTCATCAGTTATTAAAATGTGCAGGGATTCCTACACTCAAGTAACCCCCGCCTTTACAGCCTTGTTCTAAGTCCAAGGAAGTAGGCCAGGTGTGAATGGTATCACTCTCCACTCCCAGATAAGAAGCATCATTTCATGTCAACACTGAGAACCAACTGAAGGACATTCTCATTTTAAAACTCGTACATTGTAGGTTCGCAGTTACGAGATTGTAGACAAACACTAAAACCTCCTCCTCAGTATTGCCATCTATGTCCCCACCTTGGCCAGAATCTTGCACTGGTTATGTGCAGCCAGGGCCACACTCCACTGGCCTGTGGAATTTTCAGACACTGCAAAGTATGAATCAGCAATCTGAGCATAAGAGTTTTCTCACCAAACAGTTGCCTTCTCATGGAGGAGGAACTTTCAGGAAAACTCCACAACAAATCACCTGAACACACTGGTCAAAAGCAAGCTCTGCGGTTGCTCAAAATGGGCTTAGTTATGCAGGTAGGGAAAACGGCTGCCTTCCCAAGGGGGCCTTAGTGGAGTTCTGAGTACTGAGGGGCCTCTTCACAGCTGAATTAGTAATGGCCCTAAGTGAAGGCCAGGGCTTCCTCCCCACTCCACCTGAGGTCTTGCCACCTTTGTGGAGTGGGTGTGGATCTGTCCTTTGCGATGACATGCAGAGTCACATTTTATGGGGTAAAAGTCTATAGCTCTCTTCAGGTTTTCAAACATATCTGTGACCCAAAAACAGTTGAGAGCCATGGCTAGGAAATCTCTCAGTAATACTTTTCCAAGGTTAACTACTTGATCTTTTCTTTTTTCTCCCCTTCACACAACTAGGAAGGCCAAATAGTAACTACCTGTTCATCCACATGGCTGTCCTGACAAAATGAGCTGTTTGGGATCAAAAGAGATTAGTTCACCTAATTAGAATTAATAAAATTTATTTAAAACAGCCATAACAAAACACCAAAAAGGACTTGGGACATTTATAGGCTAAACTAAAAGTTTATTTTTTTTTTATTTTAAAGATAAAAGCAAAAACATATTAACAAACATACATACATTTACAAAATAACACATAAACAATACAAGTAATACAGAATTTCAGACAAGGTGATAGGAAATTAACAATGGTTGTTGTATTACGTATTGATATGTAATACAAATTGGTTACTCAGATAAACAAATTAGTTACTCAGATAAATAAATATAGCCATGTAAGACTGATCAAACAATTAAACATTCCTTTCAATAAATCCATAGAAATTGGTAGTACAACTATCTTAGCTATCCTGTGTATATAGATACACATATTTTTTCCCTTCTTTTCTCTTTTCCCTCATCCCAGTTGTTCTTTCCTTTTGAGCATTTTTCCCCTTTCACAATATCTGCTCTACGTTTTAGGTTTTATTCAGTCTTTCAGGTTCTTACACTAGTGAGACAATACGGTATGGCAAGGATGTGGAAGAAAAGGAACCCTTCTCCACTGCTGGTGGGAGTGTGGACTGGTGAGACTGCTGTGGAAATCAGTTTGGAGATTCCTCAGTAAACTAGGACTAGAGGTCCCATTCAACCCAGCTATTCCCCTTCTGAGTATTTTCCCAGAAGAACTAAAAACATCATACACAGTGATACATGTGCACCCATGTTTATAGCAGCACAATTTGTAATAGCTAAATTGTGGAAGCAACCCAAATGCCCATCAGCTGAGGAATGGATAAAAAAGTTGTGGTATTTTTATATAACAGAATATTACTCAGCTATAAAGGAAGATAAACTCAAGGCTTTTATAGGTAAATGGGCACAACTAGAATCCATACTCATAAGTGAAATAAATCAGACCTGCATGTGTAAGCACTGTATTGTCTCACTGGTGTAAAATTTTAAAAAACAAAAAAATGACACATTTACAAAATCACTAAATTCTTACTTTGTTTAATTGTTCCTTAAGTTTTTTACCTTTTTGGGGAAGGAACCCAGGGCCTTATACATGCTAGGCAAGCACCTGACCATTGAGCTGCACCCTGCTAGCCCCAATAAATTTAAGTTAAAATAACTCATTAAAAAAAAAAACTTAGTGTCTCAAATTGAAAGCAATAAACTTCCCACGAAGTAAACTTTGACTTAAGAGGCCCATGTTTTATGGTATTCTGTGCTGTCTCTGAGAGCCCAGGTGGATGTTTTCATTTCACACGTGGAGGGAGTGGCCACAGGGTCTCCTGCTGCTGCAGGTAATAGGCTCTCTGTGCCTCAGCACACCAGGTTCTGGACACCTTGGCAGCCTAAACACTGGCCTCTCTGGACCCAGTCTGTGTTTCCACTTAGTAATTCCTGTTCATTCAAGCTCTTCCATCAGGTCTTTTGGGTCATCACAGATTTCTAACTTACAGCTTTAAAAGCAGTGGCTCTCTTTACCCGCAGCACAGTGGCTCTCAGAGAATCGAGCCTTTCTTTTAAGCCCCCAATGAGCATTGCAGACTTAGTGCTACCATGCTCATCACAACCCAGTGCCCTCTGATCAACCCAGGAAGCGGGCTGCTCGCCCTGCCTGGTAGAAGAAAAGGTACCCAGGAAAGGGGTTTGATCCAGTCTCAGCTGCACTCAGCAAAGTCAGCGTAGACTACAATTGGAAATGGCCTCCTTTCAACCACAGAGTGGGAAGCAGTCGCCGCCTACTTCCAGCTGTGACCCTGGGTCAGGTGCCCTGTTTTCTCAGCAAGACCTGCAACCTTGCTAATCATGAAAGGACCACAGACAGCCTCTAGTTAGGGGCTGCCCAGAGAGGTCTCCACATGCTGCTTCACCTCCAGACCTGCACTTAGGAATGGAACTGACTCTGAGAAAAGCTGCAGGTGTCCAGGCTGGGTTCTGCCAGCGCCCAGAGGCTTTTCTGACAAAGGTGTCATGTGCTTTGTATATATAGGACAAGAATGTAATGCCACCTGCTTCACCAGTGGAGCAGCTAAAAGTCTAGCTAGAGAAGTATTTTGGGGCTAGGATGTGGCTCAGTGGTAGAGCACCTGGCTAGCATGCAGGAGGCCCTGGGTTCATTTCCCAGCACTGGCACGGGCGCGGGAGGAAGAAATGTTTCTACAGACAGGCCCCCACTGGCCATATTCTAGACCATCCAGCCCTGTGTATGATTGGTTTTTTTTGGTTTTTGGTTTTTTGGGGGGTTGGGCTTGGTTGGTTGGTTGGTTGGTTCATTTGTTTTTCAGATAGGGTCTCACTAAGCTCTTAAGTTGCTCAGGCTGTGCTCAGACATGGGATCCTCTTGCCTCAGCCTCCTAGAGTGCTGGGACTACAGACCTGTGTCTAATTTTTAACTTTGACATGAACTTACCCTCTCAGATCCCTGCTTCTTAGTGACTGTTTCTTGGTTCTGTCTCCCCCCCAGGTCAGCGCTTATTTGGGGAGACAATTCTGGGGCTCACCCAAGGCTCTGTATCTGACCTCCTTGCCCGCCCAAAGCCCTGGCATAAGCTCAGCCTAAAGGGACGGGAGCCCTTCGTCCGGATGCAGGTGTGGCTCAATGACCCCAACAACGTGGAGAAGCTGATGGACATGAAGCGGATGGAGAAGAAAGGTGAGTGTCCACCCTGTACCCAGTGGTGTGCCTCAAAGCTCACAGACAGTCATTTCCTTATGTCTTCCACACGGGGCCAGAGAGGACACTGATCCCTGACCAAGGCACTATGAGGCAGACAAAGGGTCTCAGACAGCATCAGTCAACATGGACCTTAGAGGCCTGGAAAGATTCATCACTTTCTGGTCAGTGGCCTGAATAGAAAGATTTCTTAGCACTGCAGGCAGAGCAGAGTAGCTGTTTGCTTGTCATCCTCTGCCATCTGGGTAAGGTATCACAGCATCTACTGCACAGGTACAAATGCAAGAGGCTTTCAAGTATTACTGGAGAGCTCATTAAGAAATCCATTTAACCAGGTGTAGTGGCGCACACCTGTAATCTCAGCATTCGGGAGTCTGAGGCAGGAGGATCACCTCAAGTTCAAGGCTAGCCTAGGCTACATAGTGAGACTCTTTCTCAATAAAACAAAAACAGAGAGAGAGATGCATTTAGCAGATCAGGAAACTCAGGTTCAGAAAGGTTAGAGGTTACTCCTAAGGTAAGCCAGCCTGGAAAGCAGCAGAGCATATTGCTGCCTGAAGCGATCTTCCTTCCATTTAATTTCTGGCCTCTGAGGAGCCATTCTTCCTTGGGGAGAAGCTATAGAAGCACCCAGGCGCAGTCTCAAATATAGCTGGTATCCTTCCTGCACCCTGTAAGCCACAGCACAGGAAAAAGTCCAAAGGGATGGCTGGGCATGGTGGCATACACATGTCATCCCAGGACTCGGGAGGCTGAGGCAGGAGGATCCAGCCTAAGCTACATAGTAAAATCCTGTCTCAAAAGCCCAAAGGGGAAGCAGTTCAGTGGAGAAGATCCTAGGTCACTTGGTTTGTAGTTCCTGAGTGCTAGTTCACCCCATAGGTCCCCTGGTCCCCCCTTACCCACAATGCTATGAGCCCACTGGGCAGCTGAATCCAAATTCCTTAGGTGTGGAGGCTCAGTGCTAGCTGTGACAACCCTCCCTGAGCAGCTCATGCAGAGCACCTAATGTAGAGCAGCCATCTGAGGTGGGCCCAATGGCCCTGCCTGTCCTCACCCCAGGGCACCTGAGCCGGTGAGTGAGAGCCCAGGATATGGCCCCCTCATTCACTAGCAGAGTCTCTGGCCAAGCACACTATTGTCACCCAAACAGGGAAAAGGCTGGTTCCCTGGAGCTGGAGTCCCCAATGCCCTCTCCCTGGCCTGGGCCTAAGAGACACAGATCTCCCAGCTTCCTGTTTACCAGGCACTGTGCCCGATGTCTCACTTAATCCACATTGCTATAGCCAGCGTAGATGCTAACATCCAGTAAAGATGCTCTGGGCCTTCAGAAACCAACCTGAAGCTGGCATGACCAGAGCAGACATTACCCACAGGGATACCTGGCACTAAGCAGTACTTTTACATATGCTGAGAGCCTGCCACCCTGGCACCCCGGGCACCACTGCTCCCCACTTGTGATAGGTCTAGGTCGTAGCTTCCACCCATCCCAGGCCCTCTGCCCAGCTCTGGCCAGATGAGTGCACTGAGGTGCTGACACAAGCTACAGCCCCTTGGGCAGCTCCATGCAGTGTCACAAGCTTCAGAGGCCTTGTGCCTTGTCGTTCCCCGACTTTTCTACTGACTGGAAAGTTTCAAGGATAAACAGAAGTAGGGAGAATGGCACCAAGAACCCGGTCTACCCATTGCTGAGTTTCAAACAGTATCACAGTCCCCTTGAGAGGCAGTGTCCACCGCAGTGTACTTGAGGTGGCTGCTGTCAGTGCCAGGGAGCGAGCACTGATCAGTCCCATCCCTTCTGATATCCTAGACCACTAAAAAAGGACTCCTGCCCTCCAGACAGATCTGCAGACTTCCCAGTTCTCTGCACTTCCTTCTACATGAGCTCTGGCGCCATCTTGTGTCACAAAAGAGTCACTGTCTGTGCATGGCCAGGCTTCCCAACATTCCAGGTCCCCTCTAGCCCAGGCATCCTGGACTAACTAGAGAAGCCTTTGCCAGCCCCTTCAGTCACACAGCAGGGGCTGGAGCCCAATCCTTCCCTCAGCTCCTAGGCAGCCCTTCATGGGAAAGGATCGCAGCACCGGGCAGTCCAGTTCCTCTGTCTGGCCTTGGACTAGACTGTAGAACCATTTTCCCTTGGGGAGATTCACCTTCTCTACTGTTTCCTAGTCCTAAGAATAAAATGGCAAGTAAGTTAAGTAACTCTGTAGCCTAAATTCCTGCCCTCAGAAATGAGACTAAAATGCTAACTTCTCCAGGTAATAAGGATTAGAAAGAATATACTCAGTCTAATAAGAGTTCAGAAAGAGTTATTAATTTGATTTCATTCAAAACAAATAATGCCCCTAGTCTCACCCTAACTTGAAAATTCTGCGGCAGGGAATCTGATTTGTATGCTTCCTTTTCTTCTATAAAGCACTGATTTTTCCTGTGAACTCTAAAGTTTTTTTCCTTTTTTTTTCCCCTTTTCTGTACTCTGCCATCTGCTTTTCTGTTCCTATCATGAGGTAACCCTTAAACCAACCTGTCTGTGCATTCAACAGCACATGTCGGTACACACTCACGTGCTCACAGTGCCTTGGTGGCCCAGGACTGACCCTTGCAATCTGATCTGCTCCCTGACATGATTAGAGACCTGAGTGTGTGTCCGCCAGCTCACTGTGGCTCCCAGAGACACTGACTGGGCCTACTCCCCTGCTGCGGCCCTGTAGGGCCAGGATAGGGCCTGGCCACCACCAGGCAGGGCTGCAGCTCTTCCCTGGCAGATTTAGGTCAGGTCTCTGTCCCCTCATTTACCCACTGTGTGACCCCAGATGAAGCCTCTGGAATAATGGCCCAGAGCGTGACTCAGGAATAGATGATTAGCAACAGCTACAGCTGCTGACAGTAACACTAGTAGCTCTTCATGCCTCATGTCCCTTGAATTTAAGCACTCTGTCATATCTTCCATCTCTCAAAAGAGCCGGTAAGGAATTTCAGACCATATTCCTAACTCAGTCCATCAGGACCTGCAGTGAGAAACGTTCCTCTGTGAAAGCAGCCCATGGCTTTGGACTTGAAGCCTGGTGGGCAGCAACAGTGTACCCCAGAACCTGAGCTCCAGCAGTCCCTACCCCTGTGTCCCTGCCCTATGTCCTCAGGCAGGTCCCCAGGCAACAGCACTCCCCCAACCCCCACATCTCCAAGCCTTGTCACACCTCCACCACCTTCTCCCCATCCCTGACTGCAGGAAAAAGACAGGTGAGCCACAGGTCCTCGCCTGCGGTCCTTCCTTTACCTCCAAGCAGGCCACATGTCTCCCACAGGCTAGGACCCTGCCCCAGCGTCGTCTTCCTGGTCAGCACCCCACTGTCTGGAAGTACTCCCAGCAGGCTGGACTTTGTCATGTCCCCTTCCCACCTCTATCATCCACCAGCCCCCTGCTCCTGTCTTTTTCTCAAGACCATGGCCAGGGATCACTTCCTCCACACCAGCCCCTGCCTCTGCCCATCCAGAAGACTTGACAGAACCACTCAGCCCTTGGTCCCTGAGTTGTACTGTCTGAACCTGTCTGTCACCCCAAATTACTCTACCATCTACATCTTAAACTCAGGTACCCACCTCTCTGACCATCCTGCCCTGGCATCTCTCTTCATTCCACCTTACCCAGGACAGCCCTACACTCTTGATGGCACTCAGACCTCAAACAACCCCTGGCCCGCATACCCTACCCCTGCCTGCCCCCTCTGCCCGGCACCCCACAACCACAGGCACACCTTCATCCTCTGGACATGGTGCTTCTGCCCCCACATCTTTCCACTCCTTCCATGTGCGCCCCAGCCATTCTTTACCCATCTTCCTGAACTCTTTGGTCCACACTGCCTGGGCTGGTACTGTCTCCATTTGGTACCTCCAGCTTCTGTGGAGCCCCTAGTACTGCTCCCCAGTCCTGACCAGCCCTCCCCATATCATACCCCAAGACTCCTCTCCTCAGATTCCTTCCTCCCATCTTCCTGCATCATAAAGACAGGGAGGTGGTGGCCCTGCCTCCCTCCTCCTACCCTGTTCCCACTCAGGATCCATCCTCACATGCCTTCTATGACCCAGCTTGTGCACCAGCATCACTAGCCCTTTCTCTGCTATCTCTTCCCCCTCAGCCTAGAAACAGTCTGTGCACACTCTTGCCTTTAAGTACCCACAGTAAGCTAGCCATGCTCACACCCATCTGTTATCCTAGCACTCTGGGAAGCTGAGGCAGGAGGATTACAAGTTTGAGCCCAGCCTGGGTGACTTAGCAATTTAGATCCTGCCTCAAAATAAAAATAAACAAATAAAAGGACTGGGAATGTAGCTTAGTGTGGAGACCCTGGGTTCAATCCCCAGTACTGCAAAAAAAAGAAAAAACAAAAAGTACTATGCTCAGCCCTGGATTTCCCCCCAGAAGCCATCCTGTCTCTTGCTATTTAATGATCTGGCCTCTCAACGTAATTCATGCCCGTGACCTTGGCTTCCTCCCCTCCTGTAAACCATTCAGCTTTTGCTCCCACAGTGCCACAGTCTGCTCACCAAAATTCCCCAAATCTTCAGTTCTCCTCTGGTCACTAGATTCTAAAAGTCATCCTGGGAGCCCAGGCCAGTGTTCCTTTCTGCAGCCATTGGCACTGCTAGCCATCTCTCCCTCGAGGTGCCCGTGTCCCTTTTGGAACACCACAGTCCCCTGGCTTTCCTCCTGTCCCTCTGTGGCTTTTGAGACTTCTCCCGGGGAGCATCCCAGTGTGCTGATGCTTGCTAGATTTCCATTTGGGCCCTTTTTCTCATCTATGTCAGGACCGTGGCTGCACTTTCTGTTCTTGGGCCTCCCCAGTTCATCTCGCTGGCCCAGGCCATTCTTCTGAGCTCCTTGGCCAAGCTTTTTTCATTTCCACCTGTGGCCCACAAGGTACAGATCAGGTTTCATGTCCTACAGCTGCTCCTATCACTCCCATCATCTGTGCACACATGCACAGAAACACACTTTCCCACCTGTCTTTGCACACACTCGTGCTGCAGTCCGAGTGAGCAGCCCCTGCCTTCTTCTGCCTCATGGCCTGTCTCCTGGCTAACCCCTCTCTGCAAAGATGCACTCTAAGCATCTTCTCTTCTGGAAGCCCCCTCAGGCTCCACCCCAGGCCAGGTCCTGGCTCTCCCTCAGTGTCCCTCCACAGTGCCCCGCATCTGCCTCCCCATGACACACCAGTGCGCTTGCTCATCTGTACCCCTAACTGAACGCCAAGCTGTGTGACAACAGCAGTCACCCCATGTGACACTGAGCAGGGTCTCGGTGTATGTGCCCTGGGACAGCAGAGTTCTAGTGCAGGTGTTTTCTGGTTCGGTTCGGTTCAGTTCAGTATCGTTTAGTTTGGTGTTAGGGGGGCTTTTTTACTCAGGGCCTTGCTATGTAGCCTAGGCTGGGCTTGAACTCTTGATCCTCCTCCCTCGGCCTCCCAAGTGCTAGGATTACAGGCATACGCCACCACAGCTGACTAAGTGCAAATATCTTGAGATATAAATGTAACTTTAAAGCCAGAAATGGTGGCACATACCTATAATCCCAGCAATCTGAGAGGCTGAAGCAGAAGGCTCACAAGTTTAAGCCTAGCCTAGACAACTCAGTGACTGAGTAAGACCCTGTTTTAAAATTTTAAAAAAAGACAAGAAAAGAAAAAGGGCTAGAGGGGGCTGGGGATTTAGCTCAGCGGCAAAGCACCTGCCTGGCAAACGCAAGGTCGTGAGTTCAGTTCCCGGTACCGGAGAAAAAAAAAAAAAAAAAAAAAAAAAAAAAAAAGGGCTAGAGATGGAGCTTGGTGCAAAGGCCCTGCATTCAATTCCAGAACTACAAAAAGAAAACAAAGAAGAAATATAACTGTAGACCACCAACACACCACTGTGCTTGCAGGGACCAGGGGCTTTGTGCCACTTCCCAGCATGACATTGACCTCACCCTGCCCTCTCCCCTCCACAGCCTACATGAAGCGGAGGCACAGCTCAGTCAGTGACAGCCAGCCCTGTGAGCCCCCATCCGTGGGTATTGACTACAGCCAGGGTGCCAGCCCGCAGCCACAACACCAGCTGAAGAAACCCCGAGTGGTGCTGGCTCCTGAGGAGAAGGAAGCCCTGAAACGAGCTTATCAGCAGAAGCCATACCCATCCCCCAAAACCATTGAGGAGCTCGCCACCCAACTCAACTTGAAGACCAGCACCGTCATCAACTGGTTTCACAACTACAGGTGCGACCCTGCCACCATCTGGAGCCCCTGCCCTAGGAGCAGGCTGGGCCACACCAGGGACAGTGGCCATGCACAGTACCTGGGAACAGTGCTCTAGACTTGGCCCCAGCACTCAGGGCAACTGAGGGCCCACACATGGCCAGTTAGTTGGGGCTCCCCTTTAGAGTTTCTGTCTCCAAAGATGTAGGGCCAAATCTGCTCCATCAGCATCCGGTAGTTAGCAGCAGTCCTTATCTGCCACACCAGTCCAGTCCAAAAATCACCTCTGAGCTACACTTTAGTCACGGGGCATATAGACATCCGTGATCCAACACTTAGTCCATAGTATACCCATAACCACAACAAAGCCAGCTGGGCCAAGTCAAATGGGAGAATAATGTGATGCATTCTCAGGGTCTTTCATAGTATTGTTTTCTAAAGCAGTTTGATTACTTTGTAATTAAATCATTTAATAGCCTTTCCTGTGGGAAAGTGCATGAGTTAACAAAGGTTCGTTGAGCATCTACTAGATTGTTTTAACCAACTTCACACCCCTCGCTCCTCACCACTTGCATCAGGGATACAGTGGCATCTTCATCTTGTAGGGCAAAACACAGAGGGTTTGAGTGCCTCTCCTACACAGAGCAGGGCCAACTGCCCTCCCAGTAGAGCTGAGTAGGCTGGGAGAAATGGTTTGGAAGAAAGCAAGGGAATCCGGAAGCTGAATCAGTCTCAGCTATAGCCAGACTCCCTGCTTTTGGCAACCAAGAATCCTATTAGTGACTATTCCCAAATTAATGCCAAATTAAAACTGGGGTAAGTGCTCCTGGTTAAACCATGGGTGGCACACTTTTGGCCACTGTGGGTGGAAGTCCTGGCAACTGCTTGCCTCTAATAAGTGTCACAGAGGACCACAGATAGTTACATGCCCTGAGGGAGGGTCCTGTATCTCTGACTGGACTCTTTCCATTCACAAGTTCTGGTGGGGCTCCCCAGATTCTGAAGAAATGGGAAAATTTTTAAATGTTAGATAGGAACCAGACCACACGCTCATTACCCATAAAGGCTGAGTTAATCAACGGCTGCTCAGTACAAGGTTTGAGGGGACTTGGCACCAGGCAAAGTGTTCCATCAAGGCAGCACTAGCCCCCAGCAGCCTCGCTGTGCAGGCTGGCTCCTTCAGGGACAAAAAGGGCACCGGAGCTGGGCAGACCAGCTTGTTTATCCCTCATCAGCAGTCAGATGGAACAGGCAGGAGGAGGCCAGAAGTCAGGGTCAGAGTCCCTATCCCTTGAAGGGACACATCAGAGTAGGAAGTGAAATAAAGGAGAGTGAACAGAAATGGGGGCCAGGTTCGCCACAGTACCTACTGGCCAGGCACCACGCAGTCCCTTTGTCACACTCCAGTGACAAAGGTGCATTAGAAAATGTGCTACATACTGTGCACCTTCAGGAAAGTAGTGTGACTCTCACTGTCACAGAGAAGCACATGGAGCTCTAGAGCTCTGAGATCTGGACACAGGCTGCTGATTGCTAGACCATCTCCAGACCATTCCCCTGTCCTGCCAGGGCTCCTTTTCCCAGGTCCCCCACAGCCTCCTGGCCAGGGCACCTTCCCTTGCATTTCCCAGCTGCTGTCCCTTGTCTTGCTCACCTCTGACAGTTACAGCAATGCCCACTGCCTGGTGGCCAGCGCATCATTATGAAGATGTCTCCTTGTACATTTAGCACAAGCAAATTCAACTGTCCACCCCTGGAAAAAACACAGGGAAAAGGAGAGGGAGGAGAAATAGCAGTACTACCTCCACACTGAGCAAGTGAGCCAAGGGTGGGCCCTCCATCCATAACCCCAACAGGGGCTGGGGTTTTTAGCTCAGCAGCATGGCGCCTGCCTGGCAAGTGCGAGGTCGTGAGTTCGATTGCCAGTACCAGGAAAAAAAAAAAAAAAAAAACACAAAAAAAGTATACCCATAACCACAACAAAGCCAGCTGGGCCAAGTCAAATGGGAGAATAAGCCTCGGCTGCAGAGATTGAAAAGCTCCAAGATTGTCCAAGACGAGGGATGAGACAAGCAGGGCTAGAAAGTACGATTGAACTAGAGATAAACTTGACAAGCAACAAAACAGGGCAAATGAGAAGTGTGCACTGGGTCATTCAGGAGTAGCTTAGCGGTAGAGTGTGTGCTTAGCATATGGAAGGTCCTGGCTTCGATCCCCAGCACCCAAATAAAGTGAACTAGTTAATTTAAAAAATAACCAGAACCACTCCTGGAACCTCATCCTGTAGATGGAAAAGAATATTCCTCACAAACATGGAGATAAGTCCAGGCTAAAAAGGATGAATCTCCTCTCTGCTGAGCACATCTTATGTGCTAGACACTGGGCCACAAGTTTTTATAGCTGTAGCAGCTCATTTAATCCTCCAGCCAGCACTCAAGCAGTATGGGTCTATTTTATAGAAAAGGGTGGGTGGAACCCCAGGCCCAATGCCCTGTACCCAATGGTATCTCTTCCACCCCTGCCAAGTACTTGGAGCTAGCTTTCTCTCATTCACAAAGCAGCTGGGGATAAGGACAGTGACTTGTTCTTCTCTACTTTGTGCCAAATATTACACATTTAATATTTTATTTAATCTTTATAACATTTCTACAAGGAAGATACTGTCCTCCATGTTTTTCAGACAAGAAACTTCAAGTTCAGGAGGTCAAGTTAATTTGTCCCAAGTTGCATAGCTAATAAGTGGCAAAGCCAGATTGCAGACCCAGACTCACCTAGCTCCCAATGCCCATAGTCTATTTGAACCCGGCTAGGACCATATGTGAGTCTGCACCTCCCAACAGGCAAGACTTGGGGGGTCTCCCTCACTGGTGTCCTCATTGCCAGAGGACTGGAAGCCGGTCAAGAGTGGGGCCACCCTCCCAGCACAACACCAGGGAGTGATCATTTCCCAAGGTACGCCAGGGAGGGGGAAAAGTCTTGTTATCCCTGGAGACTTTGAATAGGATTCTCAGTCCCCCACCTTTCTAAACCAAAGCTCAAAAATCTTCAGGACAAGAGTCTAAGCTCACTCTGTGCAGGAAGCAAGCATCTAAGAAACATATTAACAGCCACCCCAGAGTTCTGAGGACCTGGACCAAACCACAACTGTCTTCTCCCTGGTTCCACACCGTCCACAGCCAGCACACAACCTGACTTTCAGAAGGCTCTTGAAAAACATTCCATTTATTGATGATATGCCCCTCAGACAACATTCTCATGCACACCTAACCCTGAGGTTTTGTGCCAGGCTTGGTGCTAACTTGCCCAAAGACACTTTTCCACCAGGGGACATGTGCACATTACCAGAGGCTTTCTCAGCTCTTGGGAAGCAATACCTGGAAAGGTTTTTGAACCTGTACTGTGACCTGGAAGGCTAGGGCCTCTGAGGCAGCTTCCTTTCTTAAAAGGGAGAGTGAACTCCCAGTCTGCCATAGATAGCAGTGTCTCTGCAAAATATCACAGCACATTTCCCACTGCAGGCTGCACACAGCTGGATTAAAATCTGCTTGATGTATTGGAACATACACTAGTCTCCTTCCTGCTTGATCCAGTGACCCATCTTCCCTAGAGGAAGGAATTAGAAAAAAATACACAACGTGGTAGAATCCTACTCTTCCCATCTCTCCATGGCTCAGAGTTGGAAGTAGATTTCTACCTTGGAGACTGGCCAATAGTTGATTCTCTCGGGGGCACCTCCACTAGGACCCAGTGATTACCACACAGATCCGTTTATTAATTCAGTCAGCATGTATGATACTGTACATAGAGCGCCAGGCCAGGTGCACAGAATAAAATGACCTTATCTGCACAATCTAGTTGGGGGTACAGTGGGGCAGCGATGAAAGAAATGTGATATAATCAAAATGTATGGTGAATTTTTTAAGAATTCATTATTTTAATTCCCTTCAAAACACTCCCCCTCACTTCAAAAACACCCCATCATCCTTGCCACTTTCTGAAGCAGTTCTGGAAGTCCTCTTTTATGAGTCTTTAGGAGGTGTAATCAAAAATATGGTAAATGCTGCTGCCATCCATCAGAAAGGCAGGCTCATAAAAGCATTATGGTGCATCCTCATCCACTTTATTCTCTGGATCTGGCATGGTGCAACTTCTGGCCTCTGCCCAAAGTCAAAATAACCGTGAAAGTAAACCATCGATTTATTTTTTACTTTGAATCAATTCAGGATACAGAGGCAGCCATGATAGCATAACTAAAGACATGAAAGGGAACTTCCAGACCTGCTTCACAAAGTGCCAAGGACAATGGGATAATCAAAGCAAGGGGAGTAGTATTTGGAGGAGGGACTTATAGCAATGTGTCTTTTACTGTAATCATTCTGTTTTTAATTTACACATTTCATCATACTTTTCGATACCACCTTGTGCTTGGTGGAGAGGAGGGTGTGGCAAAGCCCAACACTAACCAACAAGGCCGAAGGTGGCAGACAGGAACCCAGAGGCCGGAGGCCCCTTGCGCAGTGGCGGGGACGGGCAGCAGGCACAGGGAGAGCCTGGCCGTGCACTGCGAGGGCCTTACACCTGTCCCGCCTCTGTCGCCCGCAGGTCTCGGATCCGCAGGGAACTGTTCATTGAGGAAATTCAGGCCGGAAGCCAGGGCCAGGCCGCTGCCAGCGACTCGCCATCGGCCCGGAGTGGCCGCGCCGCACCCAGCTCGGAGGGCGACAGTTGCGACGGCGTGGAGGCGGCCGAGGGCCCAGGCCCTACCGCCACCGCCGACGACGCAGAAGAGCCGGGC